AGCCCACACTAGAGCCAAACCGAGCCCAACAAGGCTAAACAAAACCAACACAGCTCCCTATCTAGAGCCAAACCCAGCTCAACCAAGAACCAAAGCCAAAGCCAACCCTCAACTAGAGCCAAACCGAGCTCAATCAAGAACCAGAGCCAAAGTCGAGCTCCCAACTAGAGCCAAACCGAACTCAATCAAGAATCAAAGCCAAAGCCGAACCCAACAAGAAACAAAACCTAAGCCAGCCCAACAAGAAACAAAGCTAAAGCCAGTCTCCAACTAGAAATAAAACCAAAGCCAGCCCAACAAGAAACAAAGTTAAAGCCAGACACAGACAATATTAAAATCCAGATTTTCATAAAAAAAAGAAGTTCTAGCCATTTCAAGCCAAAACCAAGCCCGAGGAATCACCTGCATATCTAAATATGATTTCAACAGATATTTGAACAGGAGTGAGGCATCACGAGGAGCTAAGTCAAGCCCTCAAAACAAGCTACAACATTTTTTAAATTAAATAAATTCCCTCGTAGAATACATTTCGAACCAGGGAAAGCAACAGGAAGCCGCAACCGAGCCCCCCAAACATGCATAAAAAAGTAAGATGCACTCTTTAACTTAAGCAAATAACCGAGTCTAATTTTAACACATGCTCACATTTTCATTTCCAAATGCACTTGAAGTGAATATCTCAAAAATATACCCAAGTAAAATGAATCCAGCATGCTATATCCTCCATTTAACCGAGCAAGAGGAGGCTCGACAGAGGGAAAAAAAAAACTCAAGAAACCAGGGCACAGGAAAGAAAGGGAAGAAGAGGCACCTCCTCAATGCAAATGTAAAGCACAGCAATGCAAGAAACCACCTCAAAGAAATGCTCTCCCAGAGAAATTCCCTCTCTAATCTCCTCACAGCCGAAAATATCAATTCCTCTCCTCTTTTTTTTTTTTTGCAAACTTTTTCAACAACCTCAAAATCAAAGGAAGCTATCCTTATATGCAGAGAAGAGGGGAGAAAAGAAAAGAGATCACACCCAACGGTCCACGACACTCGAATTGGGCCAAGGAAAAAAAAGGGACAGTCCCTGCTCATAGAAAGCGAAGCCACCGAAGTCTCTCGGACCGAGCGGCGAGAGTAATGGCAGCGAGGGAAGTATCGGGAAGAAGAGAATGAATGTCATTCCAATGTACCAGGGAACAAGCTTCCCAGAGTCAAACTACCAAGAAAAGGAAATCCACGACTCAAGGAGACTAGCACAGCTTCGGGAAAAAAGGCCGCGGGCAGAGAGTGTCGGTCTCGCGTGGAGGAGGTGGAGCTTGCTCGGCTCAAGACCGAGAACGGGAAAGAGCCAGACACGCGAACGGGAGAGGGAAAGGAGGCAGAGAGAGCTAGAGATTTTAACGTTAAAAGAGGAAAGGGGGAAGGGGTAAAAAAAAGTTTAATTAATATATATATACATATATATATATAAATATATGTATATATATATATATATTAAATAAAATACGATTTACTCGCGCGCGGCGACGTAACAAAATGGGTGTCCCCCCTGGGCAAAATCGACGTTTCGGACGCGCCGGTACAGTCCGTTTCGTCATCCGTGGGCG